GAGCTATGGAAAAGCTGTTGTACATGATCTTGTTTTTCACTGACTGGCTAAAACAAACAAAAGCCCCAAGGAAAGTTGGTATCAGAAATGCCAGCCTCAATGCGCACTAATGAGGCAGGTGCGGTTCTGATCCAGGACCAGTGTCAAATGAACAGGAGACACCTGTTGAAGCCAGCTGAGGAGTGACCAGAAACCTCCCAATGTGCCATAGCTGAAAATGAAAAATGCTTGTTCAAATCTCCCATTGCAAAAGCAAAAAACTTTGTTCAAACCTCCCGGGCAAGAATTTGTAAGGTAGTTTTCCGGTAAAGATGGCGAAATTGCCCTGAAACACTTTTGTCAGCTCAAAAACACGTTCATGGTAAACTTAAAATACAGCATTTAAAAGAATAAGAAGGAAAATTGTCTAAGGGTTTAAGTGTCAGTTCAAATGAAAAATTGAAAGGATACGGAACTAGGTGCTTCAAGGTTTTGGGCTACATTGGTAATATGCCTTATTTACCCTAATAGCTGTGCAAAGTTTTTACAGTAGCTGGATGAGAGAAAGCTACCTATAAGAGCAAACAAGCCACTTTAAAATCCTTAAAACAAGGGAAAGCAGTTTATACACTGAAAGTTGTATTAGATATGAAGAAACTAATGTTGAAATTAAAAAATTTCTTTGCCTTTTGAACAAACTGCCTGCAATGAGTGATTCCTTTGCAAATCTAATAAGGAGACAAGGAAACAGACATTCAAAAAGGAAATGACTGCTTTATAGATGGGAAACAAACTTCAGAAAATCTAGCTATCTTACAAAAATAGTTGCTTTACCTGAAAGTTCCTTATAAGAAATCAATGTTAAATATCACAGCTGCTAATAACATCAGGAGTTAAAGCTAGTCAAGTGAAAATACTAAATCCTGGACATGCTTTTTCTCAAAGTAAGCTAATGAAGCATATGTTGCATGAAAGAACATCTATGTTCTTGACTCCTTTGAATAGTAACAGTCTTGGTGAAAATATTGGAACTAACAACAATCAAGTCAACATGTTTCAACAAATTCAAGATGCTATTCACAAAAGAAAGCTGCCATGCTTTGTGGGCCATATTAGAGCTCACTCCAATCTTCCTGGTCCTTTAGCTGAGGGTAATGCAATGGCTGAGCATTATCCCAAGTGGAAATGGCTCAACAGTCACATGCTCTTCATCAAAATAGCAAAAGCTTAAGAAAGCAATTCAATCTTACCAAAGAAGCAGCTCGTCAAATAGTTAAATGATGTGGGGGTATGTCCAAAATATTTTCCTATCCCTCACTTAGACATAAACCCTCGAGGTCTTCTTCCCAATTATCTATGGCAAATGGATGTTACACATATTGCAGAATTTGGCAAATTAAGATATGTACATGTGGACCATTGACACTTATTTGGGATTTTTAATGGCTAGTGCACCTGGGAAAGCTGCAAAACATGTCATTATGTACTGCTTTGGAACTGTTTTTCGTATATGGGTATACCAAAAATTATTATAACTGATAATGGTTCTGGATATAGTAGTAAGGCATTTCAACAATTTTGTACCCAATGGAAAATTGTACATAAAACAGGTATTCCTTATAATCCTGAGGGACAAGATATTGTAGAAAGGGCTCATAGCAGTCTTAAAGTACAACTTCAAAAAATAAAAATAAAAAAGGAAGAAATTTATCCTCAATCACCACATAATACATTAAATCATGCTCTTTTTGTTGTGAACTTTTTGAATATGGATGTCCGTGAGAAGTCTGCCACATATAAGATTTTGGCACAGTGGCATCCAAGCGACTTTTGCTCAAGTGAAATGGAAAGATTCCTGCTCAAGATTATGGAAGGGTCCCGATCCTGTTTTAATATGGGGTTGAGGACATGCTTGTGGTTTTTCACAAGAGAAGGAAGCTTGGTGGTTACCAGAGCATCTCGTAAGTTGTGTGGAACTAAGGAAGGGTCAGCTCCAGTGACATTTTCTATAAAGGTACCAGAATGAAAGTGGCTCGATTAGTGTTTCTGAGGTTTTGTCACTGGTTAATGCAGTGAAGAAATAGAGTTCAGTGCTGTGCCACTTTTGGCTTTACTAGCTCCTTTAGAAAAATACTTTATATCACCTAATAGCTGTGCAGTATTTGGCGAAGAGCTATACAGCAGCTAAATACTGTAATTTCACCCTCAGTGTGAAGTGAAGTTTTTCGGTAGAGCAAACCAAAAGTCCTGCTGTAATAGAAATGTTTTTCTGAATTGAAGCACTTAGGGAAGCTATTATGAATTTGGGGGAAGGGACAGCCTCTAGTTAAAAACCATTTACTGCTGACAATGCATCTCTGCAGGTTCCAGAAAGGGTGAAAGAACTTGGCAACTTTGGGGTGTGGCTTAGTCCTGAGAATGTTACAGTCCCTTAGCAACAAATATCACAACTCCATAATGACAACACTCACTAAACCCCAGTGTATTTTATAGCAAAGCTGACTATAAACTCTAAATGATGCACATACTTCCTGCCTAGTTAAGAGAATCTTTCTAATAGAGATAGTGATAAGAATAAGAAGTAGGAAAAGATGAAAATAAGATATGTGAGTTTGTAGAAATTCTGTCTTGTTAGATCTGTGTTAAGAAATCTTTAGGTGTTTGCAAAGTTAAATATATGCTAATGGTCATCCTATATGTTTGTAAAATAGATCTATAGAGTTCCTTTAAGAATATAAGCTTGCAAGAAGTATCTAAGGTAATCTTAAGATATGTAGTAATAAGCTTGTAAGAAGTAAAGATGCTGGTTGTAAATGTTAGTTTAAATAAGAATAAGATGGAATGAATAAGTAATAAGAAATATATTTGCTAAAGTAGTTCTATAATTTCCTTAAGGAGTAGAAATAAGTAGATGTTAATATGTTATCTGTGAGTTTGTAAAAACATGTAAATGTTGAATGTGAGTCTAAATGCTTTGCAAGATATGTTATATGTGTTTCTAAAAATAGTGTAAATGTTAAGTGTGAGTCTATTCTTAATGTATATGGTGAAAACACCTGAGACACAGAAGTTAGTGTCCTAGCAGACTGCAAAGCAGGCGGTCTGAGCTGTTTTCAAAAGTTCCAGAAGCTGCTAAGAAGCTAAGAATGGCAGATGCCAGAACCAGCACAAGAAGGCATCCACAGCTGAGATCCGTGGAAAATCAACGCAACACAGAAAAACCTGAGCTAACATCAAAAACGGTGTGGCTTAGAATACTGTACCTAAAAAGGTCTCTATGAGAACAAAAGTTGCAGAGATGCTTGTTTGAACTAAAATTGTTAACTGCAAAAAGTTTTGGTTGTAAAAATGTCTCTTCATATTTTGAAGTGAAAGCCTGATACAAGAATTTATTTCTTGTTTGAACTTTTTGAACTTAAAATGAGATAAAACTTCAAAGAGATTTTGGTTATGGATTTCTTCATATTTGGAAGGCTAGTACCAGAATTTATCATTTGAATTTTGGGACTTAAGAAATAAAATGAGCAATAGATTTCATTGCAATGGGACAATTTTGAGTTTACTTATAGTAATGGCCTAGGAACTGTTTTCTGGAATTGGATTAAAAATCGAACTGTTTAAATGAAGAAATTTATTGTTTCTACCTTGATTCAAGTTGCAGTTTTGTGTATGCATATATGCTGGTGATTCATGTATTCTGTGTTAAGAATGCAATCATTCTGTGGAACTGTTTATATAAAAATGGAATTACTTATGGAACTGGTTTTGTGTTATAAATTGGAACTGTTTAAATGGAAAAGTTCGGGTTTGCTAACTAGGCTTGAGATTTTGCTTGAAAAATTATAAAGAAAAGGGAGAGTTAATATTCCTTACTCTAATTTTAAAAATGTCTTATTTGAGTGGATTAATGTTGCTTTGTTAGTAAGAAATGCAAATGGGTATATTAAGATTACTTTAAAGTGTAAAGAGTTTGCCAAAGAAACTGCTTTTGGATGTTTTGCTAAGTTTTCAAAGTGTTAATAGTTAGATTAAGAATATTGCCTTTAAATGTGGGCTTGTAGGAATTGTGAAAGTTTGGGTTTTCTTCTAACTAGGTTTGAGGTTGTTTAAAAAATTATAAAGAAAAGGAGGAGTTATGAGTGAATTGAGGTTGAATGTATGTCTGCAGAAAATATGTTTAACTTATTGATATTAATGCACCCTGCTTTTGTGGAGTTAAGGAAATATTTGAGTTTGATGTGAAAACATCAGAAGTTTTTCCTATGTTTTGTTAGCAAGAAAATTCAAATGGTTCTATTAAGATTTAAAGTTATAAGACTGAGAAAAATTTAACTCTATATAGTACCATATATGTTAATTCAAATGGTTCTGTTAAGAGTTTTGAGTTGTAAGATTGATAGAATTGTGACTATGCATAGCAATATTTATGTTAACTTGTTACTGGTAATGATGAAATACAGGATTCTTTAAGTTTGTAGTTGCCTTAATTGTTTTTGGTTTAGAAAGGGCTTGAGGCAGCTAAGACTGCTGTAGTCACCTTGGACCTAATTCAAAAGAGAAATGCCATCTTTATCATCCTCTATTCCCATATTGGGAGGTGTAACAGCTATGGAGATTGCTGTAAGCCATTAATAGTTATTTTTATATATATATTAAGAAGGAGGGACCTGTGGGAGCCCGTTCTCAGGTTCCTCATGGCTTTACCCAGCAGGTCCGAATACCCACGGGCCTGAGTGCAGGTGTCTGAGATGGTCTGCATTTGGCTGTGCTGGGGGAGGAGGTCTTTTGCTCCATCCCTTGGCATCTCTATAAAACCTCTGGGGCAGAGACAGTCAGGGCCCATTGAAATAGGTTCCAGGCCATCTGGAGTCTATCCTTTATTTTCTATCTGTTTATCTCTACAAGATTCTCCACAATAAATCCTTCTATCTAATATTTCCTGTTCCTTGCACTCAAGAAAACTCTGGGGAGTTGTGGGATTGGTGGGTAAATGCCCCACAGGTTTCCCTGATCCGATTTGTAATACTAAGATTCTGCAAATTTGCAGTGAGCCTCAAGATGAAAACATTTAAAAAAATTATTTGCACAATGACATTACTTTATCCAGGGTCATTGTTAAGTAACCATGGCAGAAAAACGAGGAGAATCAGGTGGTATTCCTTCCAATATGTGAGTTCTCAGGAGTCCTCTAATACCTTAAGACTTTAGTGAAGAAAACTGAATTCCAACCTCTAATATCATTGTTTGTGTTGGCAATTTAACATATCTTGATGGCTACAAAATGGCCTCATAGTTAAGGCTGCTTTGCAAAACAGTTCTTTATTAATTTGATTATGAGTGGAATACACTGAATAATCACTGAAAGTGACATTGAGTACATAGAAATTTGCACACATACTCAGTTTATCTTTGTTTTCCCCATGAATTGCATAGTAATTACTCAAACACTCCATTAATATTTATTAGTAACTAGGTATAAATTTGCTGTGGGATGTTCTGTATGGCAAATGTGTTAATAAATAAAACACTGATAGGCCAGTAGCCAGACAGGAAGTATAGGCAGGACTAACAGAGAGGAGAATTGAGGGAACAGGAAGGGAAGGGGGAGACTGCCTGCAGCTGCCTCCAGGACAAGAAAGATGTAAGGTACCAGTAAGCCACGAGCCACTTGGCAAAGTATACATTAATAGAAATGGGCTGAATATAAGAGTAAAAGCTAGACAATGATAGGCCTGAAATAATGGCCAACCAGTTTATAATATAAGCATCTATATGTTTATTTTATAAGTGGGCTAAGGGACTACCGGGGCTTGGTGGATCCCAGAGAGAAAACTCGAGCTACAAAAATTTATTTATTTTTTGTCTTTTTCTTGCATAAAGATAAGGTATACACTAGAATCAGGACTGTATGACATTCATGTCTCTGAGCAGAAATGAAGAATACACAGCAACTCCATGGTGTTGTTTAAATTTCCATATTCAGATTTCAATTCCTACAAACTATGCATAGTTTTTTTTTCAATAGGATTCTCATGAACTCTAATTCCTCTCATTAGAAGAAAAGTCAAAATTATGAAAGTCCTAAACAAGATTAAAGAGAAAATGCTCCTAAACTGAAGAAGATGCAATGACCTTCTTTGGATAGAAAGTTCTGCAGCATAACCAACCTTTTTCATAAATGAATAAATATCTCACCACAATCCAGATATGTATGTCAAGACTCTGCATGAAGAAAACAGGCTAGAACCCAGAGAAGGTAGAAGGAATTAAAACTGGGGATAGAATTAAATGTAATTGGTTTAGAGAACTAGACAGAAGCATAATGGTAAAAATAAGCCACGTGCTTCTCCTTACTCACAGCAAGATTAACAAATTACAACTATGTTAATTTGACTGTATTTTCCCAGAAATTTATTTTGTAACTGCATGGAAACTAATAGCTTCCTACAAGACAAATCTTGTATCTAAATTGCATGGTTATTTTATGCATGGTATCATTTAGTCTTACCCTAATGTATCAATTCCACACCTGCAGAAGGCACACTAGACTCACTGAGATTAGGTGAGGAATCTGCCTGGGCAGGGAAAAGATACCTTCTTTAACCATGCTTTTATCACAAGGTTCTAAATCTAAGATTTATAATTTTAAGATTAAGGAGAATATATGTCTGGCACAATTTGACTGACTGTGTTGTCCTGAAACAGACACATTTCCATTCATGGACATAAGGCAGAGAAACACTCTGAGAGCATGACAAATGTATGCTCCACTAGGCTTGAGTTAAATGCTATGTAATAAACTGGAATCTCTACCTTGGTCAAACTACAATTAGAAGTCATTTGTAAGACAGGAATTATCTATTCCTCATAAGTCCCTCCTCAATTTTATCTTCAGTTTTCTCTTTATTGATGGCTCCAGATATTACTGCTCTGAGAAAAAGAAAAAAGTCATCTGAACAAGTTTGTGGTACATTGGAAATGGAAAATACTGTGTACTTTACTTGAAATTTTAATAAAAAGCAACAATATATCTCTATGTCTATATATAAATAAGTTTGCATAATATTAAAATCAGACACATTTATAAAGCAGATATGCAGTGAGCAGAGTCTTACATTATTCAAGTCCATACTTCAGTATAGAGACCCACCAGTGTCTTGCACCTTAGTTTTCAAACATTGCACTTAAATGACACAATTAAGAGAAGACCCACTATGGTTGACATAACTTGTTCCATGAAGGCACTTCTCCTTAACATGTGACAAAGTCATTTGTTATACAGAACCAATGTTTTCTAAGGAGAGAGGTAACTTCTTTCACACTGTGGCAAGGAGCTATGGCATGGAAACACACACACACACACACACACACACACACACACCATACAGACATGCATAC